CAACCGCAGCAAGCAGGCAAGGGGCGATTAGAGTGCATCCTCAGCTATGAGACTCGTACTGAAGTACACGGTGGCTATCGGCTTGCCTGCTACTGCAGGCAAACCTCCCTTGCAAGTGGAACAGAATACAAGCAAATTCATATATTCATATGTTACAGTAATATAGTATACCCGATAGATGTAGTGATTAACCACTCGACACTGCACGCACACCATAAACACACACCACATACGCAACAACGAACCGCACGCACACGCACGCACGTACACAAGCACAAACCACACACAGCAACACACACAAACACGCAACGCAACACACAAACGCACGCACACTGCACCACACACACACAAAACGCAACGCACGCACGCACGCACACACACACACACACACACACGCACTGCACACAACACAACGCACCGCACACACAAACATGCACACGACCAAACACACACACACACAACAGAGAGACAGAAGAGAGAAAGAGAGAGAGAGACAGCGAGTGTTATAATATGTTGGCTACTCGTGAGTAACTTGCACATGTTTACACAGGAGGGATTCCTCGGCGAGTGCGAAAGGAATACACGCACATGACGACGGCTCGCGAAGAGAGTCTCCCAATGGGAGGAGAAGATTACTTCCAGTCTGGAGCAGCGAGTAAAGACCTCTCTTTATACATCGTGTCATACTAGCTAGCAGCTTAGACTATGGGCTAGCAGACAGACATAGGCTAGGCAGGCTAGACATAGGCTAGGCATTAAACATAGCTAGCAGCTAGAATTTAGTTTTAGAAGGGTGATATATCATTGTATCATGTTGTACAAGTATTTATCTAAAAGATAATGGTCTTGACAAGCAGTACTGCCAAATTCAGTGATTTGTCCCATGCCATTCTGAAGGTAATTAATGATAGCTAAATCGTATCTCCCACCGCCAAGCTGTATTATACATCGTATCATACTAGCTAGCAGTTAAGAATTAGCTAGCTTGGTCAGGGTCAATGTGATTACGAGAGATTCTTAAACTAATAAAAATAAAAATAAAATAACATAATGATAAAAAGCCAAAATTGAAATCTAGGCAAAAACTAGCTGCCGTGAAAGATCTACGTGTGCTTACTGTGCTATGAGCTCAACTATTTAAATTCTTTAATGCTTCAACAGGCATTTGTGGTGTCAGAGGACCTAACGCACAGTGCTATTTAACTGAGCCACCTGGCTGTATTGACTTGTTTGCCTAGCCAATCATGGTTACAATATGATGATCTAAAGACAGCTGCTTGACAACAAAGTAAATCGAATTCAACGATTCGCATCATGCATTCGTGAAACCATGTGGGTGACCTTTGACCAACCTGGCAAAGTGGCAATAATATGCTCTCAAGTGGGTTCTTCTGTTCGGGTTGGATGGATCATATAAGATGTGCTCTGAATCTATGATTGCAGGAGACGCGTGGATCCGTTGACATCCACAAGCAGATCGCTGATGCCTAGACTCGTTCTCGACACACAAGGGCCATCGCGAAGGTGAAAAGGTGCCTCTTCAACAGATTCGTCTCAGAAAGAGCACGTACGACGTCTGTCCGCTACTGTCCTGTCCGCATTACAGCTGGTGCGCGAAGGGCAGTGTCAGAGGAAAAAGCACTCGGCGTTGTCAGACAATATACTGCGTGTTGTATCCAATGTTCAAATGTTGTGACATGCATACGTTATATAGTCAGTTAATAATTAACTGATATGAAGTTAACTAAAACGCGAACGTGACTTATGCTATGTGTGTGCACTGTTTGATAAAATTGAATTCATCAATTCACAGCAAAATTTGTCAATTCAAATACAAGAACGGTTGGGAAGTGTGTTCGAATTTACCATTTGAGGCTTCAGCCCGATGTGTGATGTATGCATATATCCGATTTTAATCGTTGAATTATAACTAATTATATGAAACGATGAAACTATATAGGATAAATTCTCGTTTTGCAGGCAAATTCAGCACAACATAGAGATCAAGTCAAGAGCGGCAGGGAGCTGACGCATGGACACTAATGGCAACCAGGCCTGTTGTCACGGAAACGCATACACGAGATTCTGCAGGAATACAGAGGCGCCGTCCTTAGCAGGCAGTAACTCCATCTAGTACAATAGTTTGAATGCAATTTCCTTAAAGCAGAAGGAGTCTCTGCTTAGATCTGTTTTTAGACACTTGTAAACGATGGGCTTTATTCGGGCTTGGAGGCTGACTCGACTAGAAGCAACTGCTGCGACTGGCAGTGGCTTAGGTTCGGTCACTGCGACCGCGACTGCCTGCGACTGGCCGCCACTAGTTTGCTCGAATAGAACAGGGGGAATGGACGCAACTAGTCGCTGCGATCGCTTCCAGTTGCTTTGAAATCGCAGTTGCTTCGGCGGTCGATCATGCTCGCAGCCCGACATAAGCCCGCTAAGGAACAACTACCAAGAGCTAAGTTTTGTGTGAAACATGAGTGCCACCAAGTGAGAGTGTGTGGAATTTACACCCTATGTGAACCATATCTATATATAATATAATATATATAGTAATATGTATGTATATGCTTGAGCGCGCAGTTGTCAGGATAAATGCCCACCTTATGAGAACATGGTGAGGTACGACACACATAACGAGAGAAAGATGCAGGGTTGTCAGAATAATGTTATAATTATGTTGATGGTTCTACAGAGTTGGCTAATTTTATGTTTAACTTACATAGGTTTCTGCCTTCTCTCTCTCTCTCGCTTCTCGTCCTCTTGCCTACCTACCATGTTCCTGTGGCATGCAAGAAACAACACCTACATACGATTGCACCTGTAGTAATGGAAATTTGTTGAAAAAAATATAATTAAGGGGGAATTTTCTTAAGCCTGACAGACTATGGGAACTACTGCTAAACCTTACATAAAGGTAATTTGTCGCAGTATAGGTCCTATAATCTTAGAAGTGCACAAATAACGACCTCAAGTGTCAGCTAGGAACTTAACTAAAACTGTAACTTATCCTTTCATTACCGCTAAGTTCCCTGTATGTTATTACGTCTTGTATATTTTAAACACTTACTTGTAATACTATCAGTGAACACAAATAACCGTATTAGTGGAAAAAGTAATGTGATTCGATACTCGTAGTCTTTCGGAAGCAACGATGATTTTCTATGTTTTTAATTGTAACACGAGGAGGCTGGTAGCCAAAAATCCAGCTGGGTCATTATACAGGGACGCAGAATAATTTTGAAATGTGCTGAAAAAATACGATATGTTACATTGATGTGCTCTCTAAACACGTCACATGGATTATACTTACTTAACTCTCTCATAACGTTACATTTCATGCACGCCTACTACTCTCTTTTTATACTAATGTTAACCTGATGTACCCACACTAGATCATACTGTTAGCTCTAACATACCCTCCTTCCTCTCTATATTACCATTAATGCGGCCCATCCTACTTCTCTAGGTCCCTGTTTATATTAATGTAACGTGAAATTTACATTGTTAAGCGCAATGGCAGCGAGCACTGCTGTCATTGACTCGCACATCGTCTCATATTATTGGCCGCTATGCTACGATGTGAGTGAGTTGTGAGGGAGATGGCCCTAACATGTATGAATTGCATTCATTACCATCTTCTTGTAAAACTATGAAGAATTTTTGCGATCTCGGTCTTGTACATGGCATGCGTGTTTTGTATCGTACGTCGTTGTATATACTAGATTATCACACTGCCAATGTTATAAATGCACAAGGTTTGATTTAGTCAATCAAACGGTTATCGCCTCGATAAGCAGTTAATGGTTTTGTAGATATTCCGTAAGATTACTCTAATACAAAACCCTCGTTATTTTTTTATATCTGTACATGTATAGATCGTAGGATCACATTTGTTGTTGGTTCGTCATCAATCTAGTTTTCTCTCGTATAGTTTTATGTTTGAAAGAGCCAATTCTATGATCCCTCGTTACATTCGAGTGATCGAGGAGAAAGTATTCTACATTGTAAGAAGGGATTGCCTCTATAAGTCATTACAAGCCTTTACACGATTTTATACTATTTCTTTGACGTTATTTTAGCGCGTGTGTAAAATGGTGTTGAGATTTCTGGCCAAAAGTGGCGATGGCTACACGGTGAGAATGTTTACGTACACTAAAGCATGTACAAGCCCCCTCCCCCCCCCCCCGTGTCGCGTGCATGCCTAAAGTTCAGTTACAAAAGAATCACGTATTTCTTTTGTCGGCAAACGTGGCATCGTTTGTGTCCGCGCGTATCTTCTGTTCTATAACAAGACCGCTGCGCGACAGGAATTGTCCCTACTGAGGCAGCATTATCAAACGACACCTGTGCAATGTATACTCTCTTTACATTAACCATTATCTAGACTACTTTGCTCGTAGCCTTTCTGGCCACAACATCTCAGGGATCTGGCGCCATGGACTAGGCTTGAAGCTGTTAATTACGGGAGCGTCATGTCGCAGCTAGAAACATCACGAGAAAGGTGTACTGATAAGGCCCGAGGGCCGAGGTTTGTACTGTCCTGTTCTGTGGCTTCGTGCTATATTCTGGCTCATATTTGATTCGAAGTGAAAACATCAAACGTTTCGTCACGCCACGCGTGGCGAGCGGTACAGGAAGGCTGACTAACTGTACATTGGGAACGCGAGTGAATCATGTTAATTATTTGTGGATCATATAATAGTTAGTGATCATATTTGTCTCTTGTAGCGGCGTCACTGAAGAAAGTTTTTGTGGTCGAATTTTATGTTAATCTAAAATAAAAGTGTTCATTTTCCCTGATTCGCGCTTGCTGAATAAATTGCTGAAAAAGCAATG